CTAAAATACACAGCAGCCAATCACGGCCATGGATTTTCCTGGTGGGAAATGAAATCTCAAGGTCAACTTATCAGCCCATGCTTGCGAATGTGAAATCCACGATAAGGCATTTATCAAGCGAATTTTGGGGATCTAACATCCCCAACAGACGCTGGTTTCATTGTCTTGTTCTCGTTTATGGACTAGGGTGAACTCATTATAGTTTCAAGCATACCTAGTGACGAACCTCACACTAGTTAGATATTTAATTGTCAGCCCTGAATATTTCAACAAATTTCCATTACGAACCGATTAGTAATCGGCAATTGGAAATAAGCAGTTCATGAATCGACATCTTGTTAACGTTCATTATTTCCTCAGTCGACTGACAGCCACAAAGATGTCTGTGGTTGTATTTAATTTTTGAATCAAACCTCTCTAAAGCGGTTGTTCGTAAACTTTCTACATGCGCAACCAAATAAACAATTCGATGAACAGACATTATTGACGTGTTGAAGTAAACAAGAAGCGATAACTTCTTGAAATAGTTTGATATTACGAAGCAAGTAACTTAGATATTCAAACAGGTGTCTGAAATAAGATATCAATCATTTTGAATTACCTGTCATCAATTTTAAAGCATATTTATTTGACTCACAATTAAATTTGATTGATACTATTCAATTCAGTGTTATATTTTTCAGAAATATTAATATGCTTTTTGAAAATGAAATTTATGATTAGGTTTTTGTCGTGCCACCTACAAATTTGATATATCCGCTTTATTTTTTAAAATTTCAAGTGTCAATTTTATAAATATTTTTGGATGAAATACTAACATTTATCTTCAGAATTAATAAATGCCTAATTGTATGTTAATTAGTTATTTGTATCATGGGTTGATTGCAATAAGACATTAATATCGTTGGTTACCAGCTCAGTAATCGACAGGTTAAGTGTTCCCACTCAAAACTGAAGGTTTTTAGTTCGATTCTCGTGTACAGAGTATTAGGTACACACTATTGAGGAGTCCCATACTAGGACGAAACGGCTACCCAGCGCTTCTAAGTTTTCAATGGTAACTAACAGTGATTGGTTCATGTAATCAAAGGAATAGTTTATGGATATTATCAAAATCAAACTTAAAATAAACTTGGTCGATTTATTTAAATAAATACTATAGAGAAAAAAATTGATCCGATATAAGATAATTGAATTATATTTCCTGCCCAAATGAATGATACACTCACCAACTGGAACAGCTTTTAAAAAACTAGTTTCAAGCATTGCCAATCAATGTGAACAAAACAATGGATTATTGAGTTTTTATCTTTTCACAGAGAATAAACCAAGTCATACCATCTGTGTTCATTAAATTCTCCAGTTTACTATTCTACTCTGCCATAGATTCAAATGATTTGAGGCTTCACAAATTTTACAATGGAATGAAGAGGTGTGTTAATACGACTGCCTGTTTGATGGTAAAGTCAAATTAGTCAGTCAGATGATGGGGCAGTGGTTATCCATGGCTAAATCAAAACATGGCATTAGACAATAAAGCTTTAAATCATTGGTATGTGTCAGATAATTAAGTAAAGGAGATCAATCTAAAATCCACCTGATTAGTGTGATCAATTTTTAAAATGTATTGAAAAAGTACAGTATTCGTAAACCAATCAATATTTATAAATAATTTTTAAACTGAAATAAAGTAATTCAGTGGCGTCTTGCACAGTTTATACAATTCACTCAATCAATCAGCAGCAACGTAGAAATTCGTACGTACGTATGTACGTATATCAGTTCAAGTTGCCATATCACATTAGCACACTTAGATGTAATTGTCACTTCGAATCCCATAGTAGTAGCGGTAGTAGAGATATTAGCAGATTAGGGTTCGAAGATAATATTCAAGAAGTAGAATCTAGTGAAATAAACTTAAAAAGAGCAAGTGATGAGAAACTCCGAAGGTTAGGATTTGAAAGAACACATCAAAGAATGGATGCACCTGCGTTATTGCAAACGGTTTTGATCCATGTCATTCAGAGTCTCTAAAACCATCGATTACAATTCGTTGAAGAGAACTGATTTACTAAAATGTATTAATTCGTGTGTTAATAAAAATACACCGAACTTCTTACACTCCATTGTGTTTTACTACCGTCGGTCAACTAACTTTCCGGATGATTGTTGATCTATTTATTGGTTTTGAGTGAATCGTATAACCAGTTAATTCTAGTGAAACATTTCCAGTTTTCAAAAAAATTACTCTGTGAACATTATCCCAAAGCTTTCTGTACTTGAAAGAAAGTTAAAATCAACCATATTATATGGTAGAGACTGGAAAAACTCAGATAAATCTTACGGTCTCCATAATACAGCCATCATTGATAAATTAACATTTGCTTCTTTTATCATGCCTCATATCTGATGACTGACTTCTGGAGTTGTTTTGAGCTATGAAAAACGAGATGCGATAAAATATGCTACCAAAAATAGGAGCTTTTAACACGCAATAAATCGATATTCTTAAAATAATGTAATAGACAGACAACTGTTTTTGGATCGAATATACATTGACTACAAACTCTTCAACATTCATACTTACAGACAGTGATATAAAATTCTAAAACGTTGAATGTCATTTAGTATTAAACCACATTAAGAACTTGTCAGAATATTCATCCAATATCCTAAGCGAATTATTTTATTATGATCGTCTTAACTGTCAATGTCACAGACTTCAATGTTGTTTCCTATTCGACCTAATTGTATATATACGCAATATCTGTAACGTTTTGTCACCGTAACCCAGATCCCTAGTCTGGGATGGTGATTCTCTTCTGGAATCGGACCTCATACTTTCTGAATGCTTGTAGAATACAGGTTCTACTTCATATCAAGTTTTCTTCTTTTATTCAAGGGGGCTTTGGGACACTCGGATTAAAGTAGCTTATCGTGTCACCGGATCCTCGATCCTCGTCCTCCGACCAAGGTAAACTAGTAATAATTCAAGCATATCAAATGACGGACGTGTTTACGTGCATGAGTAACAGAACTAATCTTAATTAATTGACTGTTCGAACAATAAATAATAGAGAAAATGGTCATTAAAAAATAGTTGAATGAACAATTTCTACTCCCAGAGTTTTACATGTTTAATAAAAAACAACTGAGAGAGAAATCAAATACTGTAAGTAGTAAACTTGTAGTCTTCTTCCTTACCTACCATTAATACCTGTACTATCTCTATCAGTATTGGATTTGATTTGACATTTGCGTCTCTGTGCTAATGTGGCATGGCAACCTGAACTTATGTACATACGTGGAATACATAAACCCAATAAATGACTACCAGTAAAACAAGATATCGCCTAAATTATCGGGATTAATCATTAGTCAACTTAAAGTATCATTTTGTGATTGTGTAGAAAATAGAATGATCTATTTTCACATTTAATTATACAAATCAGATCTATAGAAGCATCATATTTTATAGACTGACTAGACAATTCAATAGATTAGACTGTCACTTGCAATTGTTTTGCAAGAAATTCATACATCTATAAAAGGTACAAACAGTTCTTGTATTATAGATGATTTCTAGACCTAACCCTTTTGTCATGATTCTGTTATGCTTGCCATCTGTTGATATGTTTGAGTGCTATTACGAGTTCTCCTTAGTCGGTAAACGACAGCGAAGACAAATGATTTAGTGACACGATAGGCTGCTACTCTAATCCGAGCACCTCAAGGTCCCACTAAGTGGAGGAAGAAGTCTTTACTAGATGTAGAAAGTGTATTCTACAAGCACCCAGAAAGATTGAGGTTAACAAGTACACAAATCAAGTTTATTTATACATGACAGAAACATCCTTGAGAGAGCCACAAAAATAGCGTATTAAAGTAATACATCAACCAATAACAGTCAAGGAATTTCCGGATGGGAACTGTAATCTCAGTGTCAACTGATCAGCCCATGCTCGAAAACATAAAATCCAAAATTTAGGACCTTTATCAAGTGACAATCTAACGCCCCCAACAAATTTCTACGTAACCTTTTAATATAAGCCTGATGAGTTGTGGCCAGTATTTCACAAAATCATTTTTAAAATCCTTCAAGCACCCTTTTCACAAACTATTTCATTATATTGGGGCACAGTTTTGGAGGTTTGCGTTTTTACACATTTGAAATCATTAATCAATCATCATTGTTAGACCACCATTATAAACCTGGAAGCACTGGACGGCCGTTTCGTCCTAGTATGGGACTCCTCAGCAGTGCGCATCCACGACTCCTGCTCCTCGCAGGATTCGAACCCGGGACCTTTGGCATTGTAGGCGAACGCCTTACCATCGGACCACTGGGCTGGCATCCAACATTAACACCGTTGGTTGATTAATGATTTCAAATGTGTAAAAACGCAAACCTCCAAAACTGTGCCCCAATATAATGTAACAGTGCTCACTAGTGACTAGCTTCGTGAGGAAATTCTCGGAGTTCTAGTTGAGAAGACGTGACCAGTGGAGTTCAACCCTGTCGGGTGTAGGCAGTAACTACCAAAGACAAATGGGTGAGGTCGCACAAAATCCCTAGATCAATCAGAGTTAGACATTAACACCGTTGGATGCCGGCCCAGTGGTCCGATGGTAAGGCGTTCGCCTACAATGCCAAAGGTCCCGGGTTCGAATCCTGCGAGGAGCAGGAGTCGTGGATGCGCACTGCTGAGGAGTCCCATACTAGGACGAAACGGCCGTCCAGTGCTTCCAGGTTTCTAATGGTGGTCTAACAATGATGATTGATCAATGATTTCAAATGTGTAAAAACTATTTCATGTCATAAAATAAACAAATCTCTTCACCTACCTAATTTGAATCATAGGTTACTTGTTTTCGATCATAGGTGTCTCTGAAGCATCGCTCATATATCTTGAGACAGTCAAGTAAGCAATATTGTCGTTAGAGGAACAAATACTATCATAACACCATTTTGTTTCTTTATATACTCCCTTCAAATTTAGATTCATGCAAATTGTCGATTACGTCGTGTTTACTTTTGTGATCGTATTTACACAGAAGATGAATTACCAAGAGATTATAAACTTTATCTGCCACGTTATCCAAACTCATCTACAAGCAATCGACAACATCACCATCAACACCAACAAGCAAAATCAATATCATGTGGAAGAACGTCATCAAATTGTTGAGAGATGTTATTTCTATTGTTTTACTTTATTCTTCTCTGTTTATAATAATAATAATATTCGTTCAACATGATTGGATATTTGTTTGAAAGTTCTCTTATCAAATTTTACAGTCAACTGGAAGAATCCATTGCACAAATATATATATATATATATATATATATATATATATATATATATATATATATATATATATATATCATTACATAACCAATATTTGAAAGATTTCCGAGAACATATCTGTGAATTCAGTCAGTCATAATAATCACAAAAAAACAAATAAAGATGCATTCACCAATTTATTAACTCATCCTTGAGATTTTTTGAAATGTTGAACTTTTATTTTTTACACTACTTTCAAGTCATCAATATTAGTAGTATATAACTTGTTTATTATTATTGTTATTGTTTTGATACTGTTATTGATCTCTAAGCGACTTTGAGAGTTTCATTTTTGATAAGTTCATCTTCTCTCGATGGCAGTGTATTCCTTTGGTGACTTGGATCAGTAATGCACATTTTTCTCTGGTTTAACATTGTATTTGACTTGTCGACTTGTTCACTTTCGATGAGAATTCATTATTTAAACTTGGTTTTTTTCACATGATTTGTATGTTCATGTCACTATGCTTTAAAATGTATTTTTCTCTGTTATAATAATTATTCATGTATACATATTTATATAAACTGATGTTTAAATAAACAAACGCACATTATATATATATATATATATAATTTTTTTGATATAATTTGTTCTGCTTTATTTTTTGTTACACAAAAGCAGAGATGCAAAATGTTGCTTCAGGACTGGGTTGCATCGGCACCTGAACTAGTGATAGGGAGTGAAGTAGTCGAGCGTGTTGATCACTTCACTTATCTGGGGAATCTCATCAGTGCTGATGGCCTCGTGAATGACGAAATCTCAGCTCGGATACGGAAAGCTTGATTAGCTTTTGCTAACCTGCGTCATTAATGGCGTAGGCGAAATATCTGTTCGCTAACCAAACGACGTGTGTACTGCGCAGCAGTCCGCTCCGTTCTCCTATATGGCTGTGAGACATGACCGTTAGGAGTAGATGTTTGTAGGTTACTAGTATTCGATCATAGATGTCTTAGAAGCACTGCTTGTATATCGTGGGACAACCGAGTAAGTAATGCTGTGGTTAGGAAACGGGTGCTAGGTAAGAATGACAGATCAATAGATGAAGTGGTGAAACTTCATCAGTTGAGGTGGTTGGGACATGTGTTACGTATGCCTAACCACCGACTGCCTCGACGAGCTATGTTTTGTGGTGTAGGAGTAGGTTGGAAGAAATCTAGGGGTGGCCAAACCAAAACATGGCAGAAATCCATGAAGTCACTGATAAGTGGACTGAGTCATGTTGCTAGATGTAGACGACCTGGTTGGGGTTCGCGAGATAAAATCACCAACGGTTAGAGACCTTGAATGACATGGCTCAGAATCGTTTGCAATGGCGCAAGTGAATCCATTCTTTAAGTTCTCTCAAATCCTAATCTTCTGGATTTGTCAGCACCTCTACCTTTGTCTTTCTGAAGTTATCTCATTGGATTATACTTCTTGAATAATATCTTCAAACCCTAATCTTCTTTATAACCACTAATACTTCCACAATCTCTATCACCATGTGATTTGACATTTGCGTCTCTGTGCTAATGTGGTATGGCGACCTGAACTTATGTACATACGTACGAAGTTCTACGTTGCAACTGACTGAATGACAGAGAGATATTGAAACATTGAATCTGATAAACTATAGGGATATAAATTAAGAAAAAATTTATTGTGTTCAGTAACATTTTTTTTATTGGACAAGTTGGAAACAAAATGTATTATTCAACCACATTTTTTTAGAATAACCGTTCGTTTACTTACTGATTTCTGGGCAATAACTGAGGTCACTCATTGAAAATGAGAGGTATAAATTACAAAATCAATCTGAATGTTCAGATATTTTTGTTACAATAGATTATGCTTACTTATGAGTAGTTCAAGTCTTCACATACCAAATTTGAAGCTCAATATTTGTTTAGCATCAGAACAGAAATAAATTAACATAAGTTTTGGGATAAAAATTCCGCTAATATATCAAAGAACTTCGAGCTTATTGTTGAGGATTTTAGATCCCTAGACCTCTCTTGATAAATGTCTTGATTTAAGGTTTTATTCATGGGCTGATCAGTTGACCTTGAGATTTCATTTCCCACAAGGAAAATCCTTGGCTGTGATTGGTTGATGTGTTATTTTAGTGTGCTATTTATGTGACTTTCCTAAGGAGGTTTCTATGATGTTTAAATAAATACGATTTGTGTGCTTGAGATCATTGTGTGTGCTGGATGTTTGAACGATACACTTTCGACGCTATATAAATACTTCGTCGTTAGTTCCTTTGGGGGCAACAGATCAAAGTCGCATAACGTGTCACTTGTTCACTGCCTCGTTCTCGTTTATCGAATAAGGTAAACCTTTATTAGTTTCAAGCATATCAAGTGACGAGCATAACAGTTGTTTTCTGGCGGAGTTCGCACCAAATTTAGAGAATTAATCTTTCTTTGCCTTTTCAATAGTTCAATTTGTCTCTTTAGGTGTCAATATCATTTCTTAGTGTCAATCAGAAATTCATATCACTTAAAAACCCTGAGTCCCCAGTATAATTAGATGTAAATCTGCTACACTGAACATCCAAGAGAATCGCCTCTTAGGAAACGAATCTAGTGACAGTGTTTTACTTCCTAAACATCACTGTGAGATCGTACTTCTAGGGATCAGTCCTATAGTACGTATCACCAGGACGTCAAACAAACTTGACCCTGGCCAACCATATCATTTCTGTTGTGTTAGTGGGACACAGACAGGATTAAAGCATGACTACGTTGCTGCGCACTGATTGGCTAATTTCCTATTCATTCAGCGCCTCATCGATTCTTGGAGAACAGGTTAGAAAATTCTCATGTTGTTAGCTGCACACTGATTGGCTAAATCGAATCCAGCCGATCACGTGAATTACTATCCAGAAGCTTCTCATGTAAACACTAAATAGAAACTAACGTTGTATCTATTTTCGCCTTCACCTTTGACATAAACTTTGGCTTCTTATTTCCATTTAACCTTGCTCTATGGAATATAATCTTTTCCTGTTCCACCGTGTTCTGTATTCTTTGGAACTTGTACAGTGTAGTGTGGTCAGAGAATACTAAGCAATAGGAATTAGCTGGGAATTATTTAAGGAAGCGTTATAACACGTTGACAGCTTGAAGTGTAATTGAGAAAATTTTTCTACCCAGTTTGGTTTTTTTCTGAGTAGGGTTACTAAGTAAGGCTACCTGTATCGGTCAAAATGTTCAAGCCTAAATTCCTATTTCTAACACTAAACAAACGACTATTTATTCACCTCTTGTCATATAAATAAATGGATTATTGTTGTTATTTGAAATGCGTCTGATTGGATTGTTTTTTTTTTAACCAAAACAATCTAGAAACATTTAGATTCAGATGTTATTGAATTTAAATTTAGTTACAAAATCTATTTCAAATTTCAGCATCATCTGATTGATTATAAATAAAATTCGTAACTTTCAAACTTGTTGATGCTTACTACCAGTCAAAACAAGTTTCGTTACTTTAGCGGGGCTTATCATCATGATATGAAATATCTCGCCAAAAAGCACTGAATATTTTTTCTCCTAATAATCGAGAATATTCGAGAATATATAATATTATTTGGGGAAACGACTAGGTACTTCTGTTATAAAAGCATTATTTACACAATAAAATTAAGAACACAATGGTGTTAGATCAGGAATTGTTATGTATGTATGTAACAAATTCATACATTCTAAACTGAGTAATTATTTACTCACGCCTGTTAACCCCAAATGAAGTATAGGACAGTATTCTCCAACCTACTCTATCCTAGGCCTCCTTTTCCAGTTCTGTAGAGTTGCTGTTCATTCTTCTCATGTCTGTCTCAATGTCTCGGCCTTCCTTTGTTCCTTTGATCTTGAGGGTTCCCAGTGACAGCTTGAATTGTGAGGCAGTTGAGTGCTCTCCTCAGTGTGTGTCCTAACCAGTCCCACCGATTCCTCCTGATTTCCTGCTCCGCTGGAATCTGGTTTGTACTTTCCCACAGTAAGTTGTTTCTAATGGTGTCTGGCCAACGAATCAGAAGTATTTTGCATAGACAACTGTTAATAAATGATTGTATCCTCTGGATGATGGCTTTGGTAGTTTCCCAAGTTTCCTTTCCATTCAATAGGACTGTGTTGACACTTGCATTGAAAATCGTGACTTTGGTGTTTGTTGATAGTATTTTTGAGTTCAAAATGTTGTTCATTTACAGAACTGAAAACTGAATAATACTTGACATCAATTAATCAATAGTTTTCTATTTGAAAAAAAATTTACAACATTGTGAATTAAACATTTATCCTGTTATGAAACTGATCACAAAGCATAAAAAATCACGGAAGATCAATTTTATACGTCACTTACACAGTTCCATTAAGCTCTTACCCCTATTAATATCAATCCTCAATTAAATAAGTGATAAATAAAATCACTTATGGTTTCCTCTACAGATACAAAGCATTGAACTGAATCACCGTTTCTCAATCTGTTTAAGTTTGCCTAATGTCATAATCATACACACTAACCTAAGGGTAGAGTCTATCTTTGAAATTAAGGACAGAATTGCATAGTTACGTCACAATGTACTAAGGTATTCTCTAGAACAAGATCAAGTAAACTGTTGCACCCCCAGCCGTTGACAATTATAAACGCTAATCAGAATTACGTTCAGTACCGAAATCCTTGAGTCAGCTCTACAATTCAATATAGCTTCTTTCTTCCTAACCCGACATTTAGTCCAGAGGTTCGTAGTCAGCCTTCACAAAACTCGTCGCATTTCAAACAGATATGACTTACATGGAAGCATACCAGACCACATCACACCATAAAATGAGAAAATCCATCCATGCATGAACGAAACAAACGTGACTGTGAATTACGGTGTCTACGAGTAACAAACTAGTAATATATTAGGAACAATAATTCACACAACAGTCAGTGATCAGTTAATCAGCAGCTAATGACAAAATCAATATACATATGCAGTTATCTAGTTATTTAATAATCATACAATGAGGATATGTATGA